AAATTAGAGGACAAAAGTGTCAAAGTATTCTCTATTATATATTAGAAAGTATGTTTTTGAATTCATATTGCACCGAAATATATTTTTTCACCTTATGTATTTTTACAGCCTAAACTGCACTTTCTGTGTATTCCAATTCAAAAAATTGAGCTCCAATTAATTGTAAATTTGAGTTTTAAAACTCTTTCAATTAATCAAAATTTGAAACTATTTCGATTTTATAAGATTAAATCTTGTTATTTTTGTTTTATCTTTTTTTTTTTTCCAATTTTTTAGTGGTTCATATTCAACCTTGGAATATATTTAGTTGCAATAGTTATTACTATTTGACTGGAATTTGAAATTTTATTTATTTATTTATTTATTTTTGAGATACATAATGGATTCAAGTTTTTTTTCATTTATTTTACTTAAATTACATTAGGTTGCTTAAATCATTGGTTTTAAGTTTTATTTAGATTAACCATATTAATTCTATTTTAGTCTCTTGTAGAGAGTTTAAATAGCCAAAACTTGTCTCTTCATTTTCTTCTTATTGGATATTTTTCTTTTTGTTGGATTTTTTTTCTGTTTTTTAATATTTAAACGGTTTTGTCTTTTTATCTATCAAGAGAAATTAATTCATATAGTAATGTAAAGGGATGCATTATTTAGACAGTATCGCCTTGTCAAATGCCGAAATAAATTAATTAATCTGTTGCAGAAAAAAAAAAGTTAAATGAACCAATTTATTCACATATACTATAGTTTTTAGTTTTTATTTTTATTTTTATACAAATGTATACTCTAATTAATAGATTGGGTAGCATTTTTCTAGATACTTTAAATAGCCTTTACCTCTTTATCTATCAAGAGAATTTAATTCATATGATAATGAAAAGGGAAACACTATTTAGACGGCTTTGTTTTTTCATATACCAAAAGAAATTAATTAGCATGCTGCAAAAAAAAAAAAAAATTTCAATGAACCAATCTCTTCACCATATAGGTTTTTAATTTTTATTTTATTTTATACAAATACACATTTTAAACGGTTTTACCTCTTCATCTATCAGGAGAAATTAATAAAAATAAATCCTAACATACACCAACCAAACTCCTTTAACATTTAGATTTCAAAAAAAAAATTCAATACATATAAGTCACACATTTAGTTTAATAAAATCATATTAAGATAAAAAAAAAAAAAAAAAAAGAAGAACAAGAAGATACATTAGATGATAAAAAGAACATATAATTTCTTTTTTCTCAAGTGGTTTTTCTGGTGAGTTCATTCATCAAATCGGTAAATAGTTTTTTGGGTGAATCCTTTATTATAAGTTCTTCATGAAATTCTTTTTTCATTCATCATTACTATTGAATGGAATTAAATTTAATAGCTGAAAAAAAAATATGGGATAGAGGAAAGGAATATTGGCATGGGTTATTTTAGTATTTTAAAATTATATTTTAATTAATTTATATTATATGTTACATAATAACATATTTTAGACTTTAGTAACTTAGAGATTGTAGAGGTGAAAGGTAGTGGAAGTAAAAATCTAACCATTATTATGAAAAACAATAAAGTACATAAACATGAAAAGGTATGTAATGTTTAGAAATTTTAAATTAGAATTTATTGAGAAATTAATAAAAATATATAATCAAAAATTATAATTATAATACCATAATTGAAATAGTGGGAATATAAATAGTAGGAAGCAAATTTCAAGAGATGGAATTATGACAATACAAAATTAATGATATTGAAGAGAATATACCTTAAGAGAGAATAAAAAATCAAGCATATCCTTTTCTTAAATAATGAATTATACACAAAGAAGAAAACAAAAAGACTAAAAAAAAATTGTAACCATACAAATAGTTATTATGCTATGGATTACATTCTTATGTTTTCATTCTTCATAAATTTTAAGTATCTATGCATACATCTTTCTTCAATTTAATGCATCATATTATAAAATTAAAATGAATTATATTAGAATATAAAAATAATAAGTGGAAAATAAGAATATGTGAAGATAAAAAGGTTGAACTCATATTATTAAGCTGAGTTATTTACATAATTTATTCTTTTATAATTAAAATAAAATGACAAATAAGGGAAAGTATTGTAAAATAAGAGAAAGTATTTAACAATTTTTTTACATAAGTCTTTACCAACTCTTTTTTCTATAATAGCTTCGTTTGTAAAATTTTATTTTATGGTTTTTTTTCTTATCCCTTCTATTATTTCCAATTTCCTATCATTTTTTTTCCATCCTATTCTATTCTTTAACTTGTATTACAAACCATTTTGAGGTGTTAATATAAGCACTTAAATCAAAGCTACGAAAAAAAAAGGTGATTTGAATGAAATTTTAGTACAATTGAATGTATATCCCAAATATATGTTGCAATAAAATTGGATATATACACAATTTAGAAGGAATGTGAAGTAGAATTTATATTTAAAAGGACTAAAAAGTTAGTAATAATATGAATAAAATAAGAAATATAATATTTTCTTGCAAAAATAAAAAATACAGTTTTTTCATATGACTTGATGTCTATCAAGTTCATACCTTTCTTGTTTAGTTTAATATATGAATTAAGACTTTTATTAGTTTAATTGACTTCAATCTTATGAGTAAAGTTCCCTCCTTAACAAAAGAAAAAAAAAATTCAAACCTTTAATAATCTACGAAGAAAAGAATGCATAAATTTAAACAAATAAAGAGAAAAAAATGCATAAATTTTAAATAGATAAAGTTACAAAATTTTTTCAAAAGAACAACACCATATATTTTATAAAAAAAATTCATAAAAAGAAATAATAAGACTAATAAAGAAAATAGTTTATACAATAATATACATACTTTGAATGAAAACATAATATTATATTTAGGTATAATATGAAATAGGAAATAAAAAAATAATATTTATAACTCTTTATGTTAGCAAAAAGAAATTAAAGAGATGAAGAGGAGAATATGATATATTGGTGTAGAGAAACGTGAGAGTTTATATATAGGTGAGTAGAAGATGGAAAAGCATGGAGAAAGACTATTTAATATTTTATGTAATATTTTATTTTTTTCATTCTTGAATATTTAAATGACACTGCCTCTTCATCTTCCATTCCCTGATCTTTTTATCCATTCCCATGCCTTTTTCTACATTTAAATATTTTAAAAGTCTTAACTTTATCTTTTAACCTCTATAATCTCAACTTTTTAAGTTTTCATTATTACTAATTAACATGCTGCAAAACAAGGAAAAAAAAAAGGGATCTCACCTCCTCATCTACCAAAGCATGAACCGATCTTTTCAGTATTAATCATTAATAATTAACATATTAATCATTTAAATTATCTTTAGTTACAATTGAAAAATTAATTAACCTTGATTTGTTATTTGTATTATATAATTATATAATATATAATAAATA